GACGCAATTGGACTAAGATAAAAACAACAAACAAAGAGAAACGCTAAATAAACCAAACAACTCACACCTATGCAATAAAAATCCTAACCTCTTCGGCGGAGGGATAGTCGACGATAACCCCAAAAACACAGAATCAAACCCCAACTCCAGATCTAGAAACTCCAAACTCTTGAACTCAACATGATATGGCTAACTAGAACCAAAGCAACAAGGATCGACCCTCCGTCCAAACAAATCACCACTGGACAACAACTCGAGACCCAGCAACCGACACCTCCCCCAACACAACCCCGACACCAACAAACAAACCAAGAACCAACAAAAAAACCAAAAGACAACACATCTGAGGGAAATCTCCCACCACAAACTTAGAAATCGGACAACCCCGAGGGAGACACCCTTGTCGGCACTAGCTCCGGCCACCACGAGGGTGGCGGCCTTTGCTAGAAGCCTCGACCGCGCTCCAAGACCGGCACCCCGACCGGCCTGACGAACTCGCCATGAAGGGGAGAATTGAAGCCGAGAGAAAGCCTGATGCCACAGCCGCGCTGACGAGCTCCACCCCAACGTTGGTCTACCCGTAAAGGAGAAAGACCTGAGGCGGAAGAGAAGAGGCACACCAAGATCTGGTTTTTCTTCATGAGGGAGAAAAAAGACTTTAGGAGAGAGAAAATTTTAATGCATAATGTAATGAAAATTCAAATAAGCCTCAAATAGCCCATCCAAATTCCGATTCCTACAACAAAATGCTGAAAATAAAAAACAATCAAGTTCCCAATAAGAACACAAGGAAAAACAGATGAAACATAAATTCCCATTTAGAGATAATTCCATTATTAACATAACCAAGAAACACTTCTATTCATATAGCATTTTTTTTCTTTTTTTTTTTTTTGGGGGGAAAGAAACAAATGATTTTTTTATGTACAAGAATAACTATCAAACACCATCTCATCAATGAACTAAAAAGCACTACTTTTAAAGAATGAAAATCAGCTGAATATGTGTCGTGTCAGCTTCTCGACCTACTGGTGGACCCCACCGTCAACCCCACCCTGACACCACGGTCATACATACGCTGAATTTCTTCCCGGTAATCGGTCAGCGACTTGTCCGGCAAGGCGGGTGTAAACTCCACAACATCCCCCATTTTCAACTTGCAGGCCGGGTCGCTAATGAGCTCATGGTTTAGCCTTGGCATTAGGTCCTGTTTAGTGGAAAGCCCATACGAAGCCCAACGAGAGAGGCCCTGACCGGCCTTTTCCAACAGATCTTTAAAGGATGAGTTTGCTGGTAACTCCTGCACAGACATCTGTAGGGTTCGAAAAATGAAATCAGATAAAGATGAAGTGTAAACTATTCATGTTGGTTCAATTAGCAAAAACATAAAAGGACATTTTAGTTATAGACTATTTTTGATAAACCTAGCTGATGCAGCTTTTAAGTGCATTTCGAGCTTATAGCTAATATCTTATGACCTATTGTTGAAAGACTAGCTTATATGAGAAAATGTTTGGTAAAATTAGCTGATGAAATAAAAATTCAATTGGCTAATTTAAAAAGATACCCAATGAAGCTTATGAGATAAGCTCCAACTTTTTAAAAACTCGTTCTACAAAATCAAGCTTATTTGAATAAAGGAAGTTTATAAGCTAATTAAAATAAGCTATAAGCTAACTTATATGCTTACCAAACACAACCATAATCACTAAAAAAGTTTCCCAATAATTGCTAGTTCAGTGTGGACGTATTGCTTGACAGACAGACAGGGTAAACATATTAGTAAGAAACAAAGAAAGTTAATGTAAAAAGTGTCCTTGAGGTATGATTTAATTAACTGAAAAAAACATCCCGAAAGTCCCAACAGCTTCTTAATATTCGTTTCTAATTTACCAGTTACATGAATAACAGTCGAGAATCACCATAAACCGGCATTTGCAATTTTCACAAATAATTGGATTTCCATGAAATTTATGGTCAAACTTCAATTGTAATTATTGCATTTATCCCATCAACTGCATTAAAAGGAAAAAAAAAAATCAATAACGAACCTTGCCATTCTCGATCACGATAACGAGAACTGGCCCATCAGACCCGCAATCAGGTTTGCAAGAAAATATGCAGTCTTTGGAATGTGTAGGGAATGTGCAAGGTGGCTTGATGGAGTCCATAAAACCAACAGAATATGGATCTTTGCTCGTGGCCTCACACTGCCAGGAAATGACCCAACGAGCCCACTCAACCATCTGAAGAATAAAAGACGAGTGTTTACAGTCTCCTTCTTTATATCTCCAATGAGCAGCAATCCCATATTCCGCTTGCAGATGCATTTCTTTTGTCCGGATTTGAACTTCAAAGGGGATCGTACTCTCACCCGTGACTACTGTGTGTATTGACTGGTATCTGCAGTGTTTGTATTTCAAAAAATTAAGCATATAATGTGACGGGATAAATAAAGTTGGCATCTTTTTCCCGGTTTCGAATCATACCCATTAAACTTGGGATAAACAATGTAGTCTTTGAACCTTCCCGGTACTTCATGCCATAGCTTGTGGACAATTTTTAGAGCTTTGTAACAGTCTTCTTCGGTCTCAACAATTAACCTTAATCCATGAATATCGTGGATTTTGTCCATATTCAGCTTCTTCCTACAAAAAAGGTAATACTGATGGGTGATGAAGTAAACTGGGAGACACTGTACAAAACAATTTACTAAACAAATATTATGTTAAATACAACTAACTGGAAAAGATTAGCCTTTTGGTAAACAAAAGCCGATATTCAAAGCATCCCCACATACATTTAAATGACACTACAGTCCCATGAAACAGATATCTATATCTGATTATTATAATACATGAAACAGATATCCAAGAAGAAGAAGAAGAAGAAGAAGAAGAGAGGTTATTGCAATACAATTTAGCGCGTGTGAGTTTAAATTATTATAATATCAAACAAGACGTACTTCAGCATTTTGGAATAGATGCTGTACAAGCTCTTATGTCTGCCCGATAGACAGTGATAAGAAATCCCTCCATCCTTCAGTGCTTGCTCCAGCTTCTCCAAAGAAGAAGTAATCACAGTCTCATTGAAAAAATTCTCAAGCTTGGATGAAAGTCCTCTGTGTTGGTCAGGGTTAAGGTATTTGAAACACAGATTTTCTAACTGTTCTTTCCAAGTCGAGATTCCTAATCTATTGGCTAGAGGAGCAAAAATTTCCAACGTTTCTTTTGCAAACCTCTGTTGTTTAATAAAAGGCAATGCATCTAAAGTCAACATGTTGTGTAATCGATCGGCAAGCTTTATTAAGACAGCCCTAGCATCTGCCATAGCTAGGAACATGGTATGTAATCGATCTGCCTCCACAGTCTTACTGGCTGTGTTGTTCTCCCGCGCAAGCTTGCTCAGTTGGCTCAGCTTTGACACCTGGCCAAAATACAATGATTTATTATGTGAACCAATTAATCTACTTCAGTTAAACAAAACTAGACAGCAACCAAACTAGTTTATCCATCAATTATGAGCAAGAAATTGAGTTAATTTCACTATACTGACATCCCAAAGCTTTCAATCCACAATAGATAGGTAGTTCATTACACGGCTACAAAACAAATAGTCAACCCACTTTTCATTTCAACACTGCCTTTCGTTTTGTAGTTTCACTTTTAACCATAACAAGCCATCACACTATGTTATCTTATCTGCACATGTTTAACCAAGAAAAGAATGAAATGGGGATTTTACAAATTCCTCTTACCCCTTCCACCAAATCAGCCACTTCAGCTCCAAATGATCGAGAAATAGTTTCGAAAGTGACAAAAGAATCGTCAACAGTGTCGTGCAAAAGCCCGGCAGCCACAACAGTAGAATCGGCACCAATGTTAGCCAATAGAACAGCTGTATCCACACAATGCTGCAAATAAGGATGCCCACTTGCCCTCATCTAACACAGATCAATAACATTCGAATCACTATAGAGCTATCAAGTATCAAATAAATAAATAAGTGACAATTGTTCCTTAGTTACAAGTACCTGGCCCCTGTGTGCCTTCTCTGCTTCACAAAAAGCCTTGACAACAAAATCATCCATGAAGATCGAATGACTCGATTGCGCCTCGGACAGCAAATCTCTCGCGTACAGTGGAAAATCTCTCCCCACGAAACTATCCTCCATGTTAAAAGTAAGCTCATGTTCGCAGGTCGATAAAGCGCTTGACAAATCGAAGTCCTTCACATCCAAATCCAAAGGAGCGGCCACGCTCGAGCCCAATGCATGCCTTACGAACCCGCTGAACATTCCCCCAGTCCCCGAACCAATCGAGCAAAAATCAGCCCCAAATCTCATTGGGGGGCTCCGAGGACCCGACCCAATCGAGCTACCCATGCCCTGAAGCACGGATACCGGGCTTTGATGCCCCTGATCTCGCTTCGAGGACGAGCTCAACGAAGAGTAGCGGAATGAGGACCCCAATTCCTCGGCCCTATCCTCGGCTCCGGAGGCGTAGCTCGAGGTTTTGATTTGCGGCGAGGAGAACAGGCGAGAAAGGCCGCCGATTAGGTGCTTTTGCGACGGAGATGCAGAGGCCGACGACGCCGAGCGGGCGCCGACGTCGAAATCTTGGGGGGTGATCTGGTGAGGCCCGGAGCACAGGCTGCCCGGCGGGTTCGCGTAGAGCGCTATGGTCGAGACCGCCATTTAAACTGATGACCCTTTTTTCAACCCACAAGAAAAATTCCCAGGTTCAGAAAATTGCCGTTATTCACTTTCTCCGGCCGATTGAACTCACTTTTTTTTCCGGCCAATTAAACAGAGAGACGGTGGAGAAAATGGAACATCAAAAGATATATTGGGATTCGAAAACAGAGAATCTGTAATATATACACTGAGAAGAGAGATCGGAGAGTGGAAATCTTGATCCTTGGTTGGAAGATTCAAACGGACAAGTCAATAAAGCAAAATTGTTTGGGGAGAAAATTTGTTTGTATTTTTGAAGAGAGATGTTTTTCCGAGTGTTTCTTGTATGTTCTTCAACTGTGATTTTTATTCCGGCGACGACACGAATTGTGGACTCTAAAAGACGGAAATGCCCTCGTGCAGTACCTGAAATAACGGAAATGCAGATTTATGTTTGGGCGTTATCCTTCACCCCCAAGTAAAAATTAGCTTAAAAACTCGTGATACCTATCTAAATTGTATTTATTGTAGGACACGTGTCAATGCACTATTGGTGATTAAGTATGGATTGCTCCATAAGCCGAGCCATCCGATGACTCCATAGCAAAACTGTTAACTATATAGGTATCTCTTGTATTATGTCGATCTAACCATTAAGTCATCATATTCTTTTTATAAATACTCATATTTTCATTAGAAAGAAAGAACTTTATAGATAGAAGTATTTGATTAGTATAAGGGCATTTTTTTCATAAAATATGATGAGTCGACTCGCCTAACAGTTAGACAATTTAACACAATAAAGTATGTTTAACTATAAGTCAATAATTAGTTTTTTAATCCAATTTTTGGATTTATGCTAGATTAATCTTGGATCCAAAGTTTCTGGCCACTCAATGGCTCGAGAAATTAAAGTGGTTGATGTGCCTAAGTAGTCCTGAGGAGCTAACACTGCTTATACTCATGACCAGAGGCGGATCTACTTACCACTAAGGGGGGTCATTGTCCCTCCCAAACTTTTCATTTTACTTCATATATATGTACGTATAATTATCGACATAAATTTTTTAATATGTATATATGTATATATATATTTATGCATACAAACATATATTATGGATTAAACATTTATAAAATATATTCAATTTATACTCAATCCCATAATTATTACAAATTACTGTATAGCTCTATATACTAATTAAATTCAACTACATCATATTTTGTAAGTACCGTTTCGACAATATTTTGTAATATTTTGTGTTCGATCTTACGCACAATTAAAGAATTAAAGAGTAAATTTGAAATAGAAGAACATGCAACATATGCAATTCAAAAGAGAATTGCAAGAACTATTAATACGACAGTGGGTCTTATCTTGGCTACTTAATAGTTAGACAACTACACTCTTCCAAAAATTATATTTATACTTTCATACTTAAATCTCATACTTTATAGTGCAGTACAAATAAAAGTATGACATTTCATAGTATAACAATGCATGTCTAGTAGGAAAATATATTTGTCTAACAATTAGACAGCCTACCAATTATAGGATTTGTGTTAACATGGAGCCAACCATCAATGAGTAAATGTTTCCCTCAAAATGTTATTCTTATCGAGTCAAGTTGAATACCTCATTTTAATCTTGTGATAGTTTAATAAATAAGTCGGATCAACTCGACTATTTAATAGATTTGTTTAATAAAAATATTTGAATAGTCATTGTAGCGCAAAATTTCACGAGTTGAACAAACACATTCCGATTCCAATTAACTCCTTTGACCCCTCCCAATTTTTTTTCCTAGATCTGCCCCTGCTCATGACGTGACAAATTTTCCTTACGGAAATGCAACTTTCACAAACCAAACTCTCCTTGTTGAGATTGCAGGCGCAACTGTGTTGGTCACCATCACTCGGCTAACCCCGGGGGCTGGTAGTATAATTTAATTTGGAGTTTATAACTAATAATTCATGACTGAAATAATAGTCAACATTAATTTGGAGTTTATAACTAATAATTCATGACTGAAATAATAGTTGATGTTGACGAGTTAAATTGTAATTCAAATATATTGGATAAATCTAACTTAAAAGATATCTTAGCTGATAAATTAACTTATGGTTGAAAATATAGCTAATATAATCAAAGTGTAATAAAAATAAGCTTACAAGTCATTTGAAATATAAATTTCAATGTTTTTTTTTTAAAGCCACATAAACAAGTTTATGAGATAAGTCGGACCAATTTTAAAAAACTCATTCTACCAACCAATATTATTTGAATGCAATATGCTTATAACTTGACTGAATAAGTTAGTTTATGATACTTACTAAACACACTCAAATTCACAAATTAATTTCGAGCTTATATATGATAATCTATGGTTGAAAAACTAACTATTATAACAAAAGTATATGGTAAAATTGGATTATAAATTTATATTGAATTCTTTTAAAATTTAACTTGAATACAAAATGATTGTAATCTAACTAAATAATTTATAAAGTACTTTATGATACTTATAAGATTTCTTTTTCCCTAAGAATAAATGGTTGGGAATTAGTAATGGAGTGAATCAAAAGCAACATTTTTTATTTGTGGATAGCATGATTAAAGTGAATCATACAGTAATAGATGATAATTACATATAACTTATAATTGGCTTTAATGAGGCCCATTTATTGATATTTTGGCTCCAATTGTCATCAAGTGGCATGCGCAAGTGCAAATCACTCTCATCTCAGCAAATAAACTTAAAATAGAATATGTTGATAATTAATTTATAAAATTCTTAATGAGCTAGAGCTCTGAGCCATATCGAATTACAAGCTAGTGCTCGACGAGTGAGTTAGAAAAGTGAGTTTGACTCGAACTCGAGTCGAGCAAATTAAAAGTTCAAGGCTTAACTAAAAATAATGAAAAAAAAGTTATATTCTCTATCTATTGAACGGTTCGCGAGGTCTCAAATAGAGGTCGAGCAGTTTAATCGAGCAAATAAGTTGAGCCTCGTCACCTCGAGCAGCATTTCAAGTGCTCGCAAGAGTCGCTCGGCTTTTTATTTAAATAAACATCTCATATGATTTAATTATCAAATATTAGAACACCAATATTAAATTTGTCTATTTAGATTAAAATCATTACACTTATATCTAAAATTTCGTGGTTGGAATTTCAAATTGAACTCGAGTCATATTGAGAATCGAGCCCATCTTGAGCATTTCTATTTTATTTTTTTTCACGAGTCGAGTCGGGCACTGTTTTGCACGGCCCTTCGAGTTCGAGCACTTAAAAAAAGAGTTTGATGTTCGGTCAATAATGTCCACGTCACGGGTCGACCTCCATGTCACAGGGGTATTTCCGTCAATCCAGATGATAAGTGAATCTCAACGAATCTTCCTTGGTCTGACAATACAGGGAAAGAGCTATACCATACCGCATTCTTTTTCACGTGTGTATTTAACTGGTTGTGTTGTGACCATAAAATCGACGGTCTCGATTAATCCAGCATGTAAATCAACGGAAATTAAATAGGATGATTAAATATTTTCCTTTTTCTTATTTTCTTAGTTTTGGTTTTATTCGGTGGAGAAATTCAATTGAAATAGTGTGTGTTGTGCAGGCGGCACGTGTTGCGCGATGGTTGCGTACAAGCAAGACACGTGGTCAGCTTAGGCGGCCTACTCTTATTAATTTACTATTCCTATTTTACCCTATGGCCGATATTTTGAGTTTCGTATTTAGTTAAATTAAATAAAATAGGTTTAAAATAAAATAAAATAAAATAAAATAAATACTCCTATGTGCTTTGGTTGTTCTTTAAATCCTCCTAATTGTAAGAAACAAGGGAGAAGAACAAGTACGCAGGAAAAGTCCAGATAAACTCAAGTGAGGTTCCATTCTAAAATCAATCGGTAGAAGGAGGAGTAGCTCATTAGACTTATATATTAGGTCTATTTTCTCTATATATAAATAATGTGAGACAACTCACAAGTGAGTCGTTAATAAGAAAGCATAAGTCCATATACAGAGCTGGGTGTCCAAGCCCTACTAGAAACAGGCTCTTCATAAACAGGTACGTGAGGGAAAACGGGTACGTCGCACGGTCCCAATACCGGCTCGGGGGAAAAACAAGTGCGGTCTCACGCACATGAATCCACCAAGAAGCAGGGAAAACCCAGATGAAGCTCAAAGTGAGTTTTCATCCCAAAATCAATTAGTTGAAAGAGGAGTAATTCATTAAACTTATAAATTAGGTTAATTTTTTTCTATATAAACGATGTGCGACAACTCAGAACTGAATATCCTAATACAAATTGCTAAACAACAAAAATTTGACTAAAAGCTTAGATTGAGAGCCTCCAAAACTATTGGAGCCGTCAGAGTCTGTACACGTGAAATCTTTGTGGTGCAAATAAAAGATTTGTTAAGAGTCTTCAACGAATTGTGTCCAAGTTCACAATTGTACTGTCTTTTTGTGTGAACCCTTCGTATGAGGCTGGCTGGCGTGCAAATAGAGCCAATCTTATCTTGTGGTCATGTTATTTGGTGAAGACCAATGAAGTTGAAAAAAAAAAATAAAAATCAGTTTGCTTTTGAGTTGAGCAAACCGAGGAGCAAACCGAGCTGTGGTTTGCTGCTCATCATTTTGATTAGCAAGTGAGAGACCGAATTGTGGTTACCCACTTTGTTTTTGTGTGCCGCGAGATGGTCGATGTAATATCAGTTTTGATCTACAAAATTTATTTATTGATAAGAAAAAATGTGATTAATTAATCGAGATGTAATTGTTACATTTATATATTTCTTTTTTTTTGTGAGAGAGAGCACATACAAAAAAATAAAATAAAAAATAAATCACAAATAATTAAAATGGATTATTGATTACTTGGATATTTTGCATGACTAACTGGCTACTTGTTGAAAATTAGTTGCGTATGATTATGAACAGTGCCTTTCTAAAACGTGCAAGCTACAAGTCTTCATTGTCACTCAAAATTCAGATACACGTTACTTTCTATTGCATAGTGTTTTGTATGCACTCTCACAAAGTCAATTAATTTGTCTACTTCGTAGACTGCATTTTTTATTTTATTTTTTCTGTATTTAACTAGTCGAAAAATCTATGGAGTCATCGGATGATTTTTTATGAAGACATCCATCACTTAATGTATTGACACATATCCGAAGTGTATTTATTGTAGCACACGTGTCAATCCCCCATTAACTGAGTCATCCATCAGATGACTCAATAACAAAATTGTTAACTAGTTTGGTTTTCGTAACTAAATAAGACATTCAAGGCAATTTTGTGGTAAATTACTTGTTAGGGTCAAATTTTAAACATCATTTTAAATAAAATGTGTTAACTGTATAATGCTTTAAGTTGTGTTTTTTGGATTAAAAAAAAAAAATATATATATATATATATGAATATGGAAGGGTGTTTGGTCATACATGTAATTAATAAAACTTTTAGAATAGATTTGCTGTATATATGCTATTTGTTTCGGAAGAAATAAACATTGTTCTTCATCACATTCTCATTTCACTTAAATTATAGTTTTACTACCTAAGATAATTAGAATTTTATAATATGTACATAAATATCTTATTTGGGCCTACATTTGGAATTGGACCATTGTCCGTTTTAACATTTGGGCCACTAGATAATTGGACTTTGATTAAACCAAGTGACTGTCAAGTGGTACGAACGAGACGAGTGGTGATTCAGGCCCAAACATCCGGTTCTTCCAGCCAAGCTGAACCCGAATAATGTACAAACAAAGTAATTACTTAATTGCATATATTAGGTGTTGTATAGTGTTATTCGAGTCGAGCTGAATTGAAACGAGCAGCTTCCGCTCGACTGGCAACTTGGAATAAAGCCATTAATATAAAATTCACATGGAATAATGCTCAACTGGCAACCTGGGCTCTACTAAAGTGACAAGAGGGACCTTCCTTGGGGTTGAAAGCCCAAATATTTCTTCCATATTCAAGTCTTCGGGCCTCATACCGTCCGCCAATTTCCAATTGAAGCCATGCAGCAGGTTGGCTAAGCTGGACTGGATCACCTTGAGGCCCAAACTGTAGCCGGGGCACATTCTCCGGCCCGACCCAAACGGTAGAAGCTCAAAATCGTGGCCCTTTACATCAATGTCCTTACCAATGAATCTCTCTGGACAAAACTCATTGGGCTTTTCCCATAGGGATGGGTCCCTCCCAATTGTCCACACGTTGACTAGCACTTGGGTCCCCTTCTTTATGTCATATCCATCCACCTTTAAAGTGAATGTTAAAACATTAATAAACAAATATATGATTAAGAAACAAAACTCATTGGTCTAACCGTTAGGCGAGCCGACCAGTCGCATGTTATGAATAAAAAATGCATACTTATATAGTCAAATGTGATAGTTTCATTTAGAAAAAAATTATGCCAATTAAATTGGCCTAACAAAACACTCAACAATTTTATTAATTAGCATCAAAATTCATTGCTCAAAAGCATGAGTGATCATTGTACTTTTAGAATCATGATTCTACAAGCATTAGGTGGGCTCTTTTATCATTGAGAAAATATAGTCCATTTTCAAAATGTGGGAAACACAAAATCATGCAGTGTGCATTGTACATTTGTACCTTGCAATCTTCACGTGACAATCGAGGTACAAGCATTGGGGCCACGGGGTGCAGGCGCATGGTCTCCTTGACAATGGCATCTATGTAAGGGAGGTTTGGAATATCTTTCTCTTTGACCCATCTATCCCGTCCGATAACCCGATCCAACTCCTCCGTAGCCCGTGTGAAAATCTCGGGCTTTTTCAATAGCTCCGAGATGGCCCACTCCACGGTCACTGCCGAGCTCTCGGTCCCACCCGCCAGCAAATCCTAGAAAAAAATAAGTCATTATCGAAATATAATTACAAATCGGCCCATCAAATTATGGGTTCATTTCAACGTATCAATGGCTGCAGTTATCGAATTTATTATTGTTGGATGAATACATACATATCCATACGAGTGTGTACTGATTTAACGATAAAAATACTCGATCAGTGCACTGCAATTTAACGATAGAGTCGAATGACCAAAATAGGATCATTTAATTAGTTATAAGAACCATTCTTAATTGCAAACAATTACAAATGAGCCCATCAAGTTCTGACCACTTAGTTACAAGAACCATTCATAATTGCAAATGATTTCAAATCAGCCCACCAAGTTCTTCCCACTTCCACTTAGGTAGGTGGTCCAAGATCCATTCATAATGTTTATGTTATTAATGTCTTACTCTTTTAGTGTTATAGCCAAGTAGTAAAGATAAATGAAATATAGTCACTTTTTTTAGAATTATGAATAATACTCATCTTGTCTTGTGAAATGACACAATTATTCGGTTCAGCAATTGACCCGGTAACCCGACGGTTGAACATGTGATCCGCTGACTCGGAGACCTGCCCGGGTCGATTCCCGAGCTGAGTTTAAAATATATAGTTACAAGTAATGGTATAAAAGAGTTAAACCGAACTTGAGCTCCTTATACTTGAACTCGGGCTTAAGTCTTTACTTCGACACATTAATTACACGAGCTCGAGCTCTTTATATCTCGAGCTAGGGCTCGAACCTTTATCTCGACTCATTAACTGAACAAATCCATTTGTTAATATTAAAGAGACGATTTTCAGACTTAAAGAGCGAAACTCGAGTCTTAATGAAACGAGCTTTAGAAAACCACATAAAATTTTTATTTTCGAGTTTTGACGAGTTAGATGAACTCAAGCTATAGAAGAACACCACTGGGTCTTTTTACAATTAAACAAGACTTCGGTGGCAACTTTTTGCAAATAAAACCAAATTGCTCTTCCCCTATCAATGCAATTCAATTTTACCTGTGTAAAACCTTTGATGCCGTGCCTCTCGAGCTTCACCTCCAGATCCGGCGCCTCCGCCAGCTCCAGCAGCACATCCACCATGTCCCGGCTCACGTACCCCGCCGTGCTCCGCCTCCTCTCCTCGTGCTCGTCCAGAACCCTCTCCAAAAACCGGTCGAATTTCTTGCTAACCGCCTTCATCCTCCTCACGTACCCCTGCAGATCCAGCCACCCTACCGCCGGAATCACGTCGCCGACGTTCAAAACCCCGTTCAGGAGAAAAAGCTCGTCGATCATCCGCTTGAATTCGTCGGGAGAAACGACATCGTTTTGCCCCCCGTCGAGATACGTTTTCCCCAAAACCATCCGGCTAATGATGTTGAGGCTCAGCGTCGACAGCCGGTCCTTCAATTGGACGGGCTCACGGGCCGATTCGAACATTTTCTTCAACAGCGAGCCCAATTCCTCGGCCCGGATGTACTCGTAGGACTCGAGCCGACGGGAGCTGAAGAGCTCCATCAGGCACATGCGTCGAGCCTGGCGCCAGTACGGGCCGTAGGGGGACCACGTGATGTCGGAATAGTTGTAGGTTGTGTACTTGCCGGCGGCGGTCTTGGGCCGGGAAGCGAAGTTTACGTCCATTGTTTTGAGGAAGACACGGGCCGCGCGGGCCGAGGAGCCCACGACGACCTGTTGGGACCCGAACCAGAGGTGCATGATGGGCCCGTACTTGAGGGAGAGGTCGTGGAGGGATTGGTGGGGGAGGGGCCCGATCAGGTTGAGGTTTCCGATTATGGGCCAGGGTTTCGGGCCGGGCGGGTAGTTGGGCTTTTTTCGCCGGAGGGCCTTTGTGAGGAGGTGGGCGGAGAGGATTGCTAGTAGAATGACGGCGGTGGCCGTTGACCAAATTTGGACTTCCATTTGTTTTTCTTTTTGATAAAATTTAAAAATTGTTTAGATTAAACTTTTTTTTAATTGAAAATGAGGAGGGTTTTAGGTGGAGAGTCGAGTTTTTTGAGTGAATGTGATGAGGATTTATATGGGAGAAATGTGAGGTGTGCTAAAAGTGAAGGACCAAATTGAAATAATTGAGATTAATAGTGTGGAGATATTTTTTTTTTAATCATAGACTTTGGTGTAGAAGACTTGCAAGAACGATTGGTCTTGGTGGTAGGTTATCTGAATGATACTATAGGAATTTTGAAACAATTTCATATGAAGCTCTACAAGCAATTGTATGTATAGCAAATTAAGTTGTTGAAATCGAATGTTAGAAACTCGTCGGACCAAAATCCGAGCACTTGGTCGGTTATGTTTGCTATATTGACTCGGTCGAGAGTTGGTTGTTGACCGGTTGAACGATAAAAATCAGTTAGAATTAGTTAATAGTGGACTGTGATTTATTTTATTTATAAAGAGTTTTTAAATTACATTTATATATATACATTTTTGACATAAAATATATTACACATACATTTTAGTTTAGAGCGACGATAGTGAGTCTTAAGTACTTTCATATAGAAAACTCATGATGGGGGGCATAAATGGCTCGAACTCCAGCTGAGCTGTTAATATAATGAGCTGATAAGCGTGTTCGAGCCTCACTCGTTTGTCGAGACGAACTCAAGTCTAAACAAGCCAAATTATAAAAAATATATATATATATATATATATATATATATATATATTTT